ATGAAGCCTTAAAGGAATATTTTCAAATCTTAAATGTCTACCCTGAGGCAATATATTCTGTTCTTTACATAGAATGTCTGCCCGAGAATACAAAAGAGGCTGAAGACTGTAGTTGTCTCTGAAGAGGATCATTGTGTAGTTTGAGGAAAGGGGACTGAATAAGACTTTTGTTTCTTTTGAATTTAGTCCTACGTGTGTGCGCTATGAAAATGAACTGAGTGAATATATTCCCCCCAATTCCAATTTGTGTGTGTGTGAGGAAGATTAGCCCTGAGCTAACACCTGTTGCCAATCCTCCTCTTTTTTGCTGAGGAAGATTGGCCCTGGGCTAACATCCGTGCCCATCTTCCTCTGCTTTATGTGGGACGCCTGCCACAGCATGGCTTGATGAATGGTGCGTAGGTCTGTGTCTGGGATCCAAACCTGCAAACCTCAGGCCACCAGAAACAGCGCATGAACTTAACCACTACGCCGCCACCAGGCTGGCCCCTCAATTACACCTTTGTTTCATTTCCACATTGTAAATTTTGGCCTTCTTTAGTCTTGAGGCTAAAAGGATTCCAGTAATTAACCTTAAAAGAGCAGGCTCCTCTGACTCTGGGAGGAAAAAATACTTACAAGGTTAGACCAATAATATTTCCCCGGATCCCCATAGCTACAAAAAATCAAATAAAAAACTCCTAGTGATAAAAAACTCCTAGTAAATGTTCTCACTAATAATATAGACTTTAATACTTCAGAATTTTTGCTCTTTTTGAAATAAACATTAACCTCTCAATGGTCTGTAATTATGTTTGGTGGTCTTAATTATACATACATTTAATTAAAATTGTCATCATTTTATGAAATGTATATTCATTTATATTTTACATATTTGTAAAATTTTTGTTGTTAAAAGATCTAGTTTATTCTGGTTCTTTCTTCCTACATACATGAAAAGTTAATGACATTTATGAGTCTGCTAGAATTCTTATTTAAATAAAATGTTCAAAAGTCTGTGACTAATTTAAAGTAAAACCAGTGATTATTTGAGAAATTACCCATGACCCATTTTAGCAATTAATGTAAGAGCAGACGTACACTGTTGGCTAATGGGAAATGTTTCCTTGCTCCTGAGAGAGAGATATTTCAGATCATTTTGTTCTCTGGGTGTTGTCATGTCTACATATAACTTCTAGAAACCTAGCATGGTACCGGCCAACACGGGGAAATGCAGAGTGAAAAATGGAAGAGAATCTGTCTCTGTGTATATTTCATTTTGCTGATGCATCAAAAATCTCTGTAGCCTGCCGTCCCTCTGAACACCTGTTATATGACACAATATACTTTCTCATTGCTTCAGCCAGTTTGTATCCTAATTGTATCAAACAACTAAGGGTCATAGGGTCACAGTTCATACTGGGAGCTGGAGAGGCAGAGATAAAGCTGATTTCATCACAGCCATCAACCAGCTCACTGTCTGGTGGGGGATGAACACACACACAGACACACACAGAGCCGTGGCGTAGGTGTCACATGTTGTCCTACAAGTTGTATAGATGCTTTGTGAAACCAGACACACCTAATGCATCCAATGTCAGGAGCGAGGAGCGGAGAGAGATTGCAAGAATATCCAGAGCCAATCAACAATCAGAAAAACTGGAAATGGAAACCACAGTCATCACAATCAGATACCACTATATACCAAGCAGAGTAGCAAAAAAGAAAAATTATTTTTAACTGATGATGCCAAGTATTGCAAAGGATATGGAGAAAACAGAACACTCATACACTGCTGGTGGAGTGCCAGTTGGTACATCTGTTTGGAAATCTATTTAGAAGAATTAAACCTACTAAAGTTGAAGACAGGCATACTCATGCCCAAACCCAAGAAATTCCACTTCCAGTATATACAGAAAGTATATATAGTATATACAGAGTACATGTACGCTCTGACATGTACAAGTATGATCAGAACAGTCCTACACGGAGCTCTGACTTCCCAATACAGGATTCCCAAGGATACATAACGAAGGCTCTTCAGTGAGGGGCTATGTTGGAATGCTCCTTTGATATGGATCTCGGCTGGTACTACGTGACTATGAAGGCTCCTTGAAGAAACCATGCTGGGCACTCAGTGAATTTGTTGTGTCCCAAGTAGAAATTCAAAGACAAGAAAACCAACAGATGGAATCAGAAAAGTGATTAAGGTTTTCCAATTCAAGAAAAAGCAAGCCAGTACTGTCATACAGTTTTAATACAGGTAATTGCAATACAAAAACAGACAGAAATACATTAAAAAAGAAAACTATTATATGGTCTCACTCATGAGATGTAAAAATTCTAAAAAGCAGTAAATGAAATCAAGCAGTGCATCCAAAAAAAAGTATATCAATGACTAACCTGGGTATACCCAGGACCGGGAAGAAGTCAGAGAACCTGTCAGTATAAATTATCACAGTAACAAATTAAATACTATACAATTGCAGGAAGAGAGGATAAAATGACATTTGATAAAACCCAAGAGCCACCTCTACTTAGATACAACAAAGAATTTTACTCACAAACAAGAGAAAACATTAAAAGGCAACCTTTTGAGAGCATGATTCTAACTACCATGCCATCATAGCTAACAGCCAGACTTGGTGACTGAAATTTCCAACTTCAGAGTTTCTTTTAGTGATGGCAGCATCTCCCAACGCAGTTTCACATCCCTAAGTAATGGAAATTAGCATTTCCATGGTAAAGTTTGAGATACACCAATTGAAACAAAGTCGAGCAATTTCCTTCACTAGAATACTCTTTAGTCTTTTGAGCCAGATGCATTTTGCTTTCCTCCAAGACAGACTGAAGGGTATTATGTTTCCACTGAGTAGAGCTTCAGGAACATCCTGCAAGTTCTGATACACAATCATTTCATTATCTTTCTTTCCGAAGAATCTGTAATTGTTTCAACTTTCTCTTTTAATTCAGAACTTATACACATGATTACGTATTTCCAAAAGCAGTTGACCAAGGTTCACCAATCCTATTAGTTGTATAATGGATCTTTATAATGGAGAGCACCAGCAGTCACCATCTTAATCAAATGATCAAACTTAGCATTGGTGATAGTGGGAAAAATGGATATTTACGTGCTTCTGATGTATTGCAACATGAAGTACACATCACCTCCTACGAAGTGCTCTGGCTGAAAAGGTTTAATCCTCTAGCTCTAACGATTTTATGAGAGATATGAAGGATAGAGGCACAAATTGAACTTCACCATGAGGGAAGAAACAAATCTAAAATGTATGGCATTCTATAAAGCAGCTTTCCTAAACTCTTCAAAGTCTGTTCAAGATTAAAATCTAGAGACATGGCAACCAAATGCGATTCGTGAATATACAGAAGATGCTGGTTAGAAAATAAATAGCAATACGATAAATTCTTGGGAGCACTCAGAAATATGAAGTGAATATAAAAGAATATTACAGAATTATTGCTAATTTTATTATGTGACTATGGTGTTAGAGTTAAGAATAAGACAGTTTTTCTTCTTAAAAGAGGCATGCTGATGTGTTCAGGAAAGAAATATCATTTCTACATCATAAGTCAAATTGTACACGAGTATAAATACACATACATACATATATATTCAGAGAGAAAGCAGATATGGCCAAATGTTAAGAATTATTGATTCCATATAGAGTATATGGATGTTCATGATACTATTCTTTAAACTTTTCTGAATGTCCTAATAGAATTTTGGGAAAGAGTTCCCAAATGCACAGTTTTCTTTTTGTTCTCTTTTTAATTTCTAATTTATCTTGAAATGAGTGGAGAATTTTAATTACTACCTGTCTGTTGGAATTCATTACAGCCAAATTGCTTCACACTGCTCCCTGATTCCTCAACAGGTGTATTCCCAACGTTTTAACACTTACTAAATCCACAACGTGTCTTTCAGTGTTAATTTTTGCTGCAGCTTAAGGGATAAATTCTGAATAAAAATCCTCTCTAGTTCTTTACATACTAGATTTTATCCAGAATGAAATAAATGGATGAAATTCAAATGGATGGGTAGTTATGGGAAGCTTTTCTAAATTCATTACACCAAATGGGCATTCCTCTCTTAAGAATCACCAGTACTAATACCAATGATGAGGATAAGAACAATAGCTATTATGTATTGTTCATAGGCTACATAACCAGATACTCTTCCAAAGATCTGACCCATACTAAATCCATTCAGTCTCTACAAGAGCACTATTAGATCGTTACCATCACCAGCATTTTAAACAAGATGCCCAGAGGGGATAAGCATTTTGCCCAACATCCTATAGGTAGTAAGGAGGTGGAATGGTGATGACAAAGTATGGTTTGTGCCATAGATAAGGGGTTTCCTACATTTGTTACGTTAATAGGGTTATTCTCTAGGATGAGTTTGCTAAAGTTTAACAAAGATTGAATAGTGTTGGAAGGCTTCTATACATTCACTAAATGAACACATCTGGTATAAATTCTCTGTGCTTTTATGGGCATAAGAAAATGGTGATTCCCATAGTAACCAAACCTTCCTATAGTACGAAGATTTTGCTATTGTAATCAGAGAGATGACAAGTGAGGGATTTCTTATTCTAATTAAATCATATCATGACTTGTCTCATGTTTTAAAAGGTGTGAATGTTGTCCCTCAAATTATTTCTGAGGAAGGACAAACTTTTTGTTTTTAATTTCCCATTATTCATGGACTGATACTTTTGTAAAATACAACGATAATGTTATGGCAATATCAAATTATGGCAATATCAAATTACTATAAAAGTTTCCAAACATTTACTCTCATTTTCTGCATTTATCTCATGATGGACAGATAACAATTTTGTGGACTAGCACTTGTCTCTGGATAATAGTTTGAGTAGCACTTGTCTAAAGCCTTCCTACAATTCTAATTCAAAGTGTTTCTCATTTGGATGAATTCTCTGATGTCCTCTAAGATGTTTACCACATCCTCGAGCCTTCCCACATTCCTTACATAAACTGAATTAAGTTTAGGTCCTTCCCACCTTCCTTAAAGTGTTTCCAATGAGCATCAATTCTCTGGTGTGTATCAGACTTTCTGCCATGAATTCAAGATCTTTACACATTCCTTGCATTTAAACGGCTTCACATCAGTATAAATTGATGTTCAATAAGATTGTACAGAAGTCTAAAGGCCTTTCCATATTCCTTATGTTCAGAATATTTCTCACTAGTATGATTTTTCTGATAACAAGTAAATTGTCCATATACAGGTAAGGCTTTTGCATATCCCCTACAGTCATAAGGTTTCTTAAGAGTAAGGTTTCTCCTCGTGTTGAATAAGTTATCCATACACACAAAAAAATGTTCTTTCACATCTCTTCAATCATAAAGTTTCACCATATCAATTGTCTCATTTGAGTAAGGTGTCCATATAAAGGCTTCCCCACACTCTTCATATTTGTAGGACATATCATTACTATGAGTTCTTTCATGTTGAACAAGGCTTGAGCCATAAGTAAAAGTCTTCCCAAATTCCATACATTGATAAGGGTTCCCACCAGTATGAAATATCTGATGAAAACTAAGTTGATAGCCATTACCAAAGGCCTTCCCACATTCTTTACATTCATAGGATTTCTCAACAGTATGGGCTCTCTCATGTTTAACAAGGCTTGAACTCCAACTAAAGGCCTTCCCACATTCCTTACATTTAAAAGGTTTCTCACCAGTATGAATTCTCTGATGTTGAGTAAGGTGATAGCCACGAATGAAAGCCTTTCCACATTCTTTACATCCATAGGGTTTCTCACCAGTATGAATTCTTTCATGTTTAGCAAGACTTGAGGCACAATTAAAGGCCTTCCCACATTCCTTACATTCATAGGGTTTCTCACCAGTATGAAATCTCTGATGTCGAGTAAGCTGATACCCGCTACCAAAGGCCTTCCCACATTCTTCACATTCGTGGGATTTCTCACCAGTATGGACTCTCTCATGTTTAACAAGGCTTGAACCCCAAGTAAAGGCCTTCCCACATTCCTTACATTCAAAAGGTTTCTCACCAGTATGGATTTTCTGATGTTCGGTAAGGTGATAGCCACGACCAAAAGCCTTTCCACATTCTTTACATTCGTAGGGTTTCTCACCAGTATGAATTCTCTCATGCTGAAGAAGACTTGAGCCACAATTAAAGTTCTTCCCACATTCTCTACATTCAAAAGCTTTCTCGCCAGTGTGAAATATCTGATGTCGAGTGAGTTGATAGCCCCAACGAAAAGCCTTTCCACATACTTTACATTCATAAGGTTTCTTCCCCGTATGGATTTTCTGATGCTGAGTAAGTTGATAGCCACGGCTGAAGGCCTTCCCACATTCTTTACATTCATAAGGTTTCTCACCTGTATGAACTATCTCATGTTTAGCAAGGCTTGAGCCCCAAAAAAAGGCCTTCCCACATTCCTTACATTTATAAGATTTGACACCAATATGAATTTTCTGATGTTCAGTAAGGTGATAGCCACGGCTAAAGGCCTTCCCACATTCTTTACATTCATAGGGTTTCTCACCAGTATGGATTCTCTCATGTTTAACAAGACTTGAGCCCCAACTAAAGGTCTTCCCACATTCCTTACATTCATAGAGTTTCTCTTGATTATGAATTCTTTGATGTGCAGTGGGAGATTTACTTTTTCCGTAAGTGGGCATTTTTTCATAGCTGATTATCATTTGACTGAAGTATCCCTCCTGGGGTCCCTGAAGTCCCTCGAATTCGCTTTTGCACTTCCAATTGTTTTTGAAAATGGATGCCTCAAGGCCAAGGGTTTTACTTTCCTTTATCTCCCATTGGGAAAATTTTATTTCAGAAATGTCCTTTTCTGGAAATGTATTTTTGGTCTCGTATGTTGACTCCAAATCTGAAAGAAAACAAGAAAACCACACACTTTATTTCCTTTACCAGAAAAAAGCCCTCCATAGTAGAAATAAAAGACCAATTGAAAATAATACCCATAAGTGATTTGGATTAAGAGACTTACTGAACTCCTAAGCATCAAGTCTCTCCCCTGTCAAACAACAAACTCAGCTTTGATTTTTCAGTTCTTGTGATCTTAATGTTCTGATTTGACAGTTTTCGGAGGATTCCACAAAGATCATCACCATGTAGACAGTCCCTTACACCAAAATGTGCCCTTCCATCAATCAAACCCTTCTGTGCCCAGGTGTAGTTCCAGCTGAACTTTTAATTAATGACTGTGTAGGCTGGCATGATGAACTGGAATCCAGAAAATCCCGCAACTCAGAAACAAAATCATTACACTAGATAATTCTTCCTCACAGGAATTTTTCTGAGAGATTGATGATGGGCTAGAAAGCAGACAAAATCTCGCAGTTCAAGTTATTACAGTTATTAAGTTAATGCAGTTATTAAGTTCCAAGGCTCTGCTGGAGTTCAAACAAGAAGTGAAACAGAACGAGTTAAAGCTGTACTGCAACCTCCACCCAGCTCAAATCATTATACAAAGAGTTTAGCCCATCAGTGGTCATGTGGGAAATTCAGGGCAAATAAAAATTTTTTAATCTAACTTGAAACCAGAAGTGAACTGAAACTTATGAAAACTAACACCCAGTCCAACTCAGCTCCATGCTTGGTGGGATCCAAGTTATCAGCCTCTCACCCTACATGACTGACCGAGGAAGGGCATATACATTCGGGGGCGGGGGGAGTATACATTCTTTACTGTTATTTATTCAAGATGTCTGCTACACAATAAAAAATTATGAGACAGGCGAAGAACAAGAAAAATGTGACCTATAATCCCAACAAAAACACAAGCAAAAGAGAGAACAGATGATGCCGATATTAGAATCAGCAGACAAGGTCATTAAACAAGTATATGTTACAAAATCTGGAAGAAAAGATGGACAGTGACCAGATGGGAAATTTGAGCAGAGAAATGGAAACTCTAAAATTGAACCAAATGGAAATTCTATAACTAAAAGCCCAAACTAAAGCACAAAGAGAAAAAAGACTGGGGAAAAAAAAAAACAGTGTCAGATCTGTGCAACGATATCAAACAATCTAACTTCGGGCAATGGAGTCCCAGAAAGAGGACAGAGTCAAAGAAATACTTGAAGAGATGGTAGTTTAAATTTTCTCAAAATGTATGAACAGCATCAGCCTATTTTCAGCCCTCTGCCAGCAGGATAAACACAAAGAAAAGCAACAACTGGGAACATCATAATCCAACAGTTGAAAACCAAAGATAAAGAGAAAACAGTAAAAGTAGCGGGGGTGGGCGAGATACCAAATTTAGAGGAAAAAATGTAAGAATTATGGCTGACTTTATATCAGTAACAATGGAAGCTACAAGACAAAGGAATATCTTTAAAGGCTGAAGGAAGAAAGCTCTCAACCTAGAATCCTATATATAGCAAAAAACTATTCTTCAAAATGAAGGTAAGTGGTTTCTAGCTCTATCCATGAAGAAAACTCTGGTATTAGACTTACTGCCTCGCTACAAAAAACTATAAAATTGGACGCTAGACACAGGGATGAAAAACTTTCACAGCAGAAAAACCTATCAGAAAATTCACCCTTTCTACTGGCTGTATCCTCTAAACCAAGGCACAGGAAAATGAAGTCCAAATAGAGAGCAGTAGTCTCACTGGGCAAAGGATATTAGGATCTGGGCTCAGGGCTGCTAAGGTGGCTGGAATTTGTGGTTCAAGGTTTACTAGAGGAAGAAGTCATGCAAAGGAGCCCCCATAATCTTTGTAGGGATCCCTCCTTGGATCTGTAACCAAATACTAAGTTATGCAGCCACGGGGTAACTCTCCACAAGGCCTCTGGGGTATTCACTACGATCAGAGATTCTAGAGATTGTATGTTGGAGTGCCAAGCTGGCCTGAGTGGGAAGACCTCAACCAACACCCCCAAGCATTCATTTGATGCCTTAGTACTTCTCAAACTTTTTGGTTTCAGTATCCCTTACACTCTTAAAAATTACTGGTGAATCCCTTGCTTGCTCATGCATAAGTGTATCTGTAATACAAAATTAAAAAGTTTAGCATTTTTGCCTATTGGTGATTATATATTTTGGTTGAGCTATAAAATGGTAGATGATACTGTGGATGTTTGTGAGAACTAATTTTAATTATGGATAATTGGTCACAGCCCTAAACTGCAGTAACTATTGCTATTTTATTTAATGATGTCTTATTGCTTTGTATTTAACATTTGGGTGTAAAGACTGTGTGTATATCTAAAAGGAAGCCATAGTATTTAAGTTGACCAACTTAATACAACTACTTTGAGGTGGCCAAACGTAAACTAAAAGGAGTGCAGTTTTGTACAACTTAGCATCAAAAAATAGTTCAATAGGGGCCGGCCCAGTGGCGTAGTAGTTAAGGTCACGTGCCCCGCTTCGGCAGCCCCGGGGTACGCAGGTTCAGATCCCAGGCACAGACCTACACGCTGCTCACCAAGCCATGCTGTGGTGGCGTCCCACATAAAAAACAGAGGAAGATGGGCACAGATGTTAGCTCAGGGCCAATCTTCCTCAAGCAAAAAGAGAAAGATTGGCGACAGATTTTAGCTCAGGGCCAATCTTCCTCACCAAAAAAATAATAATAATAATTCAATTGAATTGCATGGCAATTTTACTGAAGTGCCACCCAAGGGCTTGCATTATAATTATTTGGTAGTTGAATGTTTTGTGTAAGGCTTAACCATGTTAATAAATAAATATAGGTTTAATTTCTTTTTAGATTTAAAAAGAAATCATCGAGGACTCAAAAGAGCTTTTGTTTATGTGGGTTATATCTTTTGATATTTACCATATTAGAAATTAAAACTGAGAAATTTAAAGATTTATTAATTCATTTAAAAATAATAAATCATTAAATGTTAACATAATAAACATATTTTATGAAAAGTAATTATGTTTTCCAAAACAAAAAATTTAATGAAGTATTGTCTTAATCGTTTGCAAATCTCTTTAATATTGGGTTTAACAGAAGACAACTGGATTTTCATACCTGCTTCTGCATTCAATCTGTGGCAATGCTATTTTGGTCAAAGTATATGAAGGAAATCCAGCCTCCCATAGATATGTAATTGTACAATGGCAGAACGTTATATGAGCCTGTCCAGGTGCTCATGTCAAATTATTCTCTGATACGACAGTAAAACTTGAGAAGTGGTAGTTTCTTAAAGCTTAGTAGCAATGTGGAATATGCAACCATACCCATGAACTTTTCATACTATGTTACATTCAAATCCACTGCACTTTGCATGATCTTTTATCCATGCATGATTTTGTAACATCATGCACTGGTCATTTGAAAAATAGTGATTCACTGAGTTATGCAGATCTTTGAGATGTTGACATATTTCATTTCACAATATCAAAAAGATCACGTTAATATTACAACCTATCTCATCAGAAAAATTTTATATCTTGGGAAACTATAAAGCTCAAAATGATGGATACAGGTTTTACACAATTCTAATTCTGACTTGAAAGTCTGAATTCTGGGGCCGGCGCAGTGGTGTAGCAGTTAAGTACGCGCACTCCGCTGCAGTGGCCCAGGGTTCGGATCCCAGGCGTGCACCGATGCACTGCTTGTCAAGCCATACTGTGAGGGCATCCCATATAAAGTGGAGGAAGATGGGCACAGATGTTAGCCCAGGGCCAGTCTTCCTCAGCAAAAAAAGAGGAGGATTGGTGACAGATGTTAGCTCAGGGCTGATCCTCCTCACAAAAAAAAAAAAAAAAAAAAAGAAGGTCTGAATTCTATCATTGGCAACAAATACCGTTAGCTGTTCTTGCAGTCACAGGCTTGCTTGCAAGAAAATGTTTGTCAACTACCTAAGTCTCGATAACCATAGTTTGTCTGTCAGTCATTCTTTCAAGGAAAAAAAATGGTATTCCCTGAAAAAAGCAGGTAGTTTCACTCATAATTGGAACAACTGCACAAACAAGTGTACTTTGGTACATAGCAGAAGAGCTGAATTAATACTTCCCATTTCATCACACAGAATATTTTTTAAATGCATACTCAAGGGTCAAGATTTAATCAAATGAAGCCCAGAGCAAGGTATTGAAGGTCAACCAGTGTGAGAAGGGTGTCAGTATAAGAGGGCTGTCCCATGTGGGGAGGGTGAGGATAAATGTCTGTGTGTATGGGACCTGGCGTGGGTTGTCACAGCCCAAGTGGGATGAGAAGGGCAATCACAGGATCAAGGTGGTGGTGGTGGTGGTAGTAATAGAAGATTGGTTACACAGAAAGAGTTTGATCAAATAAGTAAATATATTAAGGATAATGGAAGCCAGGTTTTTCACCGTCAGAGCAGGGAGTTAGAAATACAGAAAGTGAGTAAGCCGAAATGAAACCTGTAGTGTTGAAATGGAATTGGAGAGATCTGTGTGAACTCATGGTTTTCAACAGATAGATGTAAATGTGTATGCATGTCTATAGATAAGTCTATTCCCTAGCTCTGTCCACTGAGAGTGCCTGGGAGCAGCCATCTCCCAGTAGAAATGAGCAAACTTATATCCAGATTTTGGTTTCTAAATACCATTCTCAACTAACAGAAACCAGAGCATCATGAAGAAAAGGCTGAACGAGCTGGAGCAGGCAAAGCATATGATGAGCCTGGAACCCACTGTGTTAGAAAATAAAGAGGTGCTCAAAGAGTGATGGAGATGTGCCCAAGGATGCAGAAGCCATCACGAGAGGGTCCCCACTGGTCAAATCTGGGACAAGCTCAAATATTCTGAGCTTCAAGATAAATAATGGGAAGAAGAGATTACAATCCACTGACTAGAAATCCAATACATGAATACATTGAAAGTTTGAAGAGGAATACAATATTCAATAGTCTCGAAGTTCCTCCTCATGAAATACTCATTAA